GGTGGCACCTCTGCGCGGCCGCTCAGCCCCTCTGCAGCTTGCCACCATCAACGGAGACACATGGCAGGGCGCTCGCACTGTTTTGGACTGGAACGCTGCGGCCAGGCGTAGATTCGATGCGGTTGGCCCGCCACGACGCACGGGCAAGGATCGTCTGGCTGTCAGTGGGGGCGTGGGCCTCTGCACTGGCATGCACGTCGGCGTCTTCGGCGGCACCCCGATTCCCTCTGAATGGTGTCACCGCATTGTGGCAAGGATGATCCACCTTGCAGAAGGATCTGTGTTCCTTGCGATCTCGCTCTATCTGGCCACCTCGCTTGGATTGACGGGCGACAACCAGAATTTGCTCTCTGAGGTGGCATCAACTGCGGGGCGTGACTGGCGCCAGGAGGTGAAGGCATCATTGTTAACTAACCCTGACGATCCGACCTGCGGGAACAACGAGTACGACTACTTCGTCATGTCGCGCACTGTGGCCCATGATGTCGCTGCCCCTCACGATTTTGCCGGCACGCCAGCTGGCACGCATAACCAGATGCGCTGCGCTTGGGAGCGGATTTGGGAGCACCCCACTGTCCGGGTCGAGGATCCGTGGCGACCTTTCACCGAGGCCAAGAAGGGCCCTGACTCCGAGGACTCTGCCAAGCCGCGTGATCTGTCCACTGAGGAAGGGCGACTCGAGCAGGCAGAGCTGGTCGAGCCCTTGGAGCGCTTGCAGACGGCATGTGCTAGGTGGTTCGACATGGCGGAGCCCTCCCCCATTCGGACTCAGGAGATCGATACGAAGGATGCCCATCATCATCGTCGTGGACATGGGCTGGGCATACACACGATTGAAAGGCCTCTCCTGGACGCGCATGAACGCGAGCGACGCTCCCACGACTCTTCTGGCACAGAGGCCGAGTGGAGTCTCACTCTGGAAGGCCATGCCCCGTTGGGGCCAGGCGGACCGCGGGTCTCGCGGCAAGCGGCAGGCTGTGCGAGCGCGTCTATATCTGCAAGCTCAGACCCTTGTCCTTCCTGAGTCGATGTCTGGTGCTGAGGCCCCGCGCACGGTGGCGACTGGCAGGTAGCTTGCTGCGGCTGGACGGGACGGCCCTCTCTCCGCGCGGTTCCGGGACCTCTTGCAGGAGGCGGTGGCCACGCGCGGGAAGCCAGGCTCTGCGGCCGAGGCCGAGCGTTGGAGAGAGTTCTGCAGCTCGGCTCCCTCCGGCTCCGGGAGGGCCGCGCACGAGCTGATCAGGCCGAAAGCTGTCGGGCCACTCCCTGTGGTTTTGCCTCGCGACGCGGAGTAGCCACCTCCAGTTGGTTCTTTGGCAGACGAAGGCTCTCTGCAGGAGGTGGCTTCCAGCGTGAATCAAGGAATCCAGAGCAGACGAAGTTCCTGCGGCTGATTGGCAGGTGGCGAATACCTTGGAGCCCATCAACTCTGAGCAGGGTCACTCTGCCATCCCCTTCGTCGGCAGGAGGAAGGAACTAGGCTGGGGCAACTTTCACACTCGGCTGCAGGGCGAGTTGTCGGATGCCATGGTGCCCCGCTTCGCTGCTCCTTCTCCTCCTCCTCCTCCTCCTCCTCCTCCTCCTCCTCCTCCTCCTCCTCCTCCTACTCCTCCTCCTCCTCCAACTCTTCCTCCAACTCCCTTCTTCCCTTCCTCCATTCCTCCCTTCCTCCCTTCCTCTCTTCCTCCCTTCCTCCCTTCCTCCCTTCCTCCCTTCCTCCTTCCTCCCTTCCTCCCTTCCTGCCTGCCTCCCTTCCTCCCCTCCTCCCTTCCTCCCTTTCTCCCTTCCTCCCTTCCAACCTTCCTTCCTTCCTCCCTTCCTCCCTTCCTCCCTTCCTCCCTTTCCCCTTCCTCCTCCCTTCCTCCCTTCCTCCCGTCCTCCCTTCCTCCCTTCCTCCCTCCTCCCTTTCCTCCCTCCCCCTTCCTCCCTTCCTCCCTTCCTCCCTTCCTCCCCTCCCTCTTCCTTCCTCCCTTCCTCCCTTCCTCCTCCTCCCTTCCTCCCTTCCTCCTCCCTTCCTCCCTTCCTCCCTCCTCCTTCCTCCCTTCCTCCCTTCCTCCCTTCCTCCCTTCATCGCTTCATCCATTCATCCTTTCATCCCTTCCTCACCTCCTCCCCTCCTCCCCTCCTTCCCTCCTCCCTCCTTTCTCCTCTCCTCCCTCCCCCCTCCCCCCCCTCTCCCCCCCTCCCCCTCCTCCTCCCTCCTCCTCCTCCTCCTCCTCCTCCTCCTCCTCCTCCTCCTCCTCCTCCTCCTCCTCCCCTCCTCCTCCTCCTCCTCCTCCTCCTCCTCCTCCTCCTCCTCTCCTCCTCCTCCTCCTCTCCTCCTCCTCTCCTCCTCCTCCTCCTCCTCCTCCTCCTCCTCCTCCTCCTCCTCTCCTCCTCCTCCTCCTCCTCCTCCTCCTCCTCCTCCTCCTCCTCCTCCTCCTCCTCCTCCTCCTCCTCCTCCTCCTCCTCCTCCTCCTCCTCCTCCTCCTCCCCTCCCCCTCCCCTCCCTCCCCTCCCCTCCCCCTCCCCCCCCCTCCCCCTCCCCCTCCCCTCCCCCTCCCCCTCCCCCTCCTCCTCCTCCTCCTCCTCCTCCTCCTCCTCCTCCTCCTCCTCCTCCTCCTCCTCCTCCTCCTCCTCCTCCTCCTCCTCCTCCTCCCCTCCTCCTCCTCCTCCTCCTCCTCCTCCTCCTCCTCCTCCTCCTCCTCCTCCTCCTCCTCCTCCCCCTCCTCCTCCTCCTCCTCCTCCTCCTCCTCCTCGCCCCCCCCTGCTTGGATAGCAGGGGCCCCGTCATCGACTCGGGGATAGCCGGGGCACCCCCCACTGGCGGAGCCAGTGGGGTGGTCGGCGCCGCCTGGGTCGGCGGGGTATAAGTAGGCTGGAGATCAAGCCTAACAGCTCGGTCTCCTGCGCGGGCTCCCTCGGGCCTGCGACGCGCGCCCGCAGGGTCCACTGGACCGCGGTGCGGCGGCACCCGTCGCCTGATCCGAGGGCGCGGCGAGGTGCAGGATGCGGGGGCCCGGCTGCTGGCGCTTGGGGCCCCTGGCCCCCAGGGCAGTGCGGCTGCACGGCGCTTCCGGTGCGGCCACGTCACGCCCTGGGGTCTTTTGGCCATGGCTGCCCTACTAGGGGGGGGCTGCTGGCCTGCTGGGGGTCCCTGCGGCGCGGGGCCTTCCATTCTTTTTGGCTGAGTTTTTCGTCGTGGCCCCCCCCCTCGAGCAGAGGGGCCCCGCAAGCCTCAAGGCTCCATTGTGCTCACAGAGCTGTGGACGTCTTCTCCGCATAGTCCCGCATAGTCCTCCTCCTCCTCCTCCTCCTCCTCCTCCTCCTCCTCCTCCTCCTCCTCCTCCTCCTCCTCCTCCTCCTCCTCCTCCTCCTCTCCTCCTCCTCCTCCTCCTCCTCCTCCTCCCTCCTCCTCCTCCTCCTCCTCCTCCTCCTCCTCCTCCTCCTCCTCCTCCCTCCTCCTCCTCCTCCTCCTCCTCCTCCTCCTCCTCCCCCCCTCCTCCTCCTCCTCCTCCTCCCTCCTCCTCCTCCTCCTCCTCCTCCTCCTCCTCCTCCTCCTCCTCCTCCTCCTTCTCCAAGGCCTCCCCACTCGCCCTGCCTCCGACCAGCGTCCGCTCGAGGTCAGGCGCGCAGCCCTCCTGGTCAGCTTCTCGGGCCGCGCCCCGCCGTGGCCATGAGGACCCTCCAGGACTGGCACGCCCCAAAGTGGGGACGGAAAGTATGGGCGCGGTGCCCAACAGCGAATCTCATCCAAACCCGATGGTGGCCACTGGTAGACAGGCGACGTGCGTCGCAAGCGGACAACGTCCCTGGCAGCACCGACAACGAACCCTGCTCGAAACGGACAAGATCAACTATTGACCGTTGTCCCCCTTCTTTCCGTCACCATTTCGATCCTACGGGCAGAAGGCGTCAAGGACTTAACGACTTCTGCTGTCCCTCGACTCGCGCAGTACCTGGCACGATTCTCCAGAACTGTCTGGAAATCCCTGGATTCACATCGACCTATCACGACTAGCGTCGCTTTGCACCGATTCAGCTCGGTTTCTCTGGCCTTCTCCCTTTCGCGGTTCGAAGATGGGGTCCCGAAGGAGGGGGGCCCCAAGGACGAGTGGACTCACACGGTGAAGGCTCAGCTTGGGATCCGTCTCACATCCTCTGGGTCCCATCCCTCAGGGCAAAATCTTAGAACCACCGATCCCCGCGAGTCGATTGGAGAAAAGTCGGCAAGCCCTCGGGGAAGGAGGTCCAACCGGATCGGGGAGACGCGAGACTCGAGTTTGGGTGACTCGGATTTGCCGGACCGGGCTGGTGAGAAAAACGGTGGCGGGGCCCAGCATGAAACCTGGCGCGAGCTCCCGCTGCAAGCATCTCCCGATAACTGGACCATCATTTTCATGCCAGGACCGTGACGAAGCGGCGGCGCAGAGGGCAACCCAGACGGGCGACAGGCGTGCGTGAGAACGGTGAAGTCTGGGAGCTCGTCCTCGTGCTCATCCCAGTCCGCGGTGGTGGCTGTGTAGGTCCTGCAAACTCGAGTCTGACGCTTCCCCGACAGGAGGGCGCCAGATCAGGGGTGAACAGAACCCCCTGTAGCAAAAAGCCCTTTAGTGAAAGCTGCCAGGAACACTCCACGTGCGCACGGCACCGCATTCTGAGTGCACCCCAGTGGGGTAGCTAGCCGACGTCCAAAAACAAGCGAACGCATCTAGCGAAGCGCGCGTCGATTGGCGAAACACCGACTGGGGACTGCACTGGTACACTCGAAAGCAAATTTCGAGTGAAACAGCGCAGCTTTCCTCAGTCGACTTGTCTGGGTGGGCATTCTCTCCGATAGGGGGGAACTGGCATAGGGGGGTAAACGTCAACCTGGAATCGGCGATACAACGCCGATAAACTGGGGAGAGGCCCCCGATAGCGAAACCGCACGTTCCTGGACGGCGTGGGCTATGGGGCCCCTATCGGCGATCAATGGGCGATGTGGTGTCGATGCATCCTGATCGATGCCCCTGACTGATCAGTGCCCGGCGAGAATCCGAAGAAGGCCACCCTCGCCCCTGCATCCCCCCTACGCGCCGCAGCACCTCGCTGCGCGGCCGCCAGTCTCCTGGGCCGCCCAGCGGGCCCCCGGCTAATTGCGAATTAACCGCCTCGCGGAAGAAGGGGGGGGGATTCTCCCCATCCTCCTCCCTGCCTCCATCCCTCCCGCCCACCAACCCTCCCTCCTTTTCTTTTTTTATTCCTCCTCCTCCTCCTCCTCCTCCTCCTCCTCCTCCTCCTCCTCCTCCTCCTCCTCATCATCATCATCATCATCATCATCATCATCATCATCATCATCAGCATCATCATCATCATCATCATCATCATCATCATCATCATCATCATCATCATCATCATCATCATCATCAGCATCATCATCAGCATCATCATCATCATCATCATCATCATCATCTCCCTCCCTCCCTCCTCCCTCCTCCCTCCCTCCCTCCCTCCCTCCCTCCCTCCCTCCCTCCCGTCCTCCCTCCCCTCCCTCCCTCCCTTCCCTCCCCTCCCCTCCCTCCCTCCTCCCTCCCTCCCTCCCCTCCCTCCCTCCTTCCCTCCCTTCCTCCCTTCCTCCCTTCCTCCCTTCCCGGCGGAAAGACCCACGGGCGCCAGAGTTGGTCCCCCTCCCCCTTCGCCAAGGGGACCCGTGGGGACACACTGGGGGTCTTTGAATTAAACAGCATGAATTACACGTAGGGAGGTGACTAAAAAGCCGACACAACATTAGAGGAGGAGGAGGAGGAGGAGGAGGAGGAGGAGGAGGAGGAGGAGGAGGAGGAGGAAAAGAAGGAGGAGGAGGAGGAGGAGGAGGGAAAGGGGGAGGCGCAAGGCGCGCGCGGCAGCAGGGGCGGCCAGGCAGGAGTGGGGAGTAGAAAGGAAAGGTGCGGCTGGGGGGGGCGGTCGGGTCGGTGGTGGTGGTGGTCGTGGTCGCGGCGTTGTCGTGCTGGTGGTGGTCGTGGTCGTGGTGCCAGCTGGCGGTATCCGCGGTGGTTGTCGTGCTGGCGCTGGTCGTGGTCCTGGTGCTGACGGTCGTGGCGGTTGTCGTGATTACGGTTGTCGTCGTGGTGCTGGTGGTGGCGGCGGTGGTAGTCGTGCTGGTGGCGGTTGTGGTCGCGGCGCTGGTGGCGGTCGTGGTGGTTGCCGCGCCAGCGGTGGTTCAGCTGGCGGTGGCCGTGCCAAGGGGCCGCCGGCCTAGCGCCCGAGCGCGCTCAGCAGCATCTCAGCATCACCCCTTTGGAGGGTTCTGCTGATCTGCCGCCAAAAGCCGCCCAGCAGCTCGGAGCGGTCGCCGTCGTCGAGGCCTTCCTCCCTCCCTCCCTCCCTCCCTCCCTCCTTCTTTCCCCCCTCCCCACTCCCCCCTCCCTCCTCTTGCCTCCTCCCTCCTCCCTCCTCCCTCCACCCTCCACCCTCCTCCCTCCTCCCTCATCGCTCCTCCTCCTCCTCTTGTTTTTCTTATTATTATTCTTAGTAGCATTGTTAGCCTTCTTATTATTACTATTATTATTCGTAGTATTAATATTATTATTATGTTGCTTCTTATTATTATTCTTCTTATTAGTACTAGTATGTTTCTTATTATTATTATTAGTAGTATTATTATTATCATCATTATTAGTATGGGTATTAGTACTATTCTGGTATTGTTATTATGATGTGATTAGTATTAGTATAAGTATTATTACTAGTATTATTAGTACTGTTGTATTATCATTAATATTCTTATTATTCTTATTATTAGTAGAAGTAGTAGTACTAGTACTAGTACTAGTACTAGTACTAGTACTAGTACTAGTACTAGTAGTAGTTGTAGTAGTAGTAGTAGTAGTAGTAGTATTCGTAGTAATAGTATTATTATTCGTCTTCGTCTTCGTGGTATTGATATTCTCATTCTTATTCGTATTATTATGTTTATTATTCAAATGTTTATTAATATTATTCGTATTCGTATTCTTCGTATTCTTAGTACGCTTCTTCCGCGTCTAATTATTATTGTTATTAATATTATTCGCATTATTATTATTATTATTCGTCTGATTAGTATTCGTATTCGCATTCGCCTTCTTACTAATAATATTATTATTACTAGTGTTACTATTATTCGTATCGTTATTGTTATTATTATTCGTGGTCTTATTCTTATTATTCTTATTAGTATGCTTCGTCTTCTTCTGAGTATTATTATTCTTATTCGTATTATTCGTAGTAGTATTATTACTCTTATTATTTTTTTTCGCTTCGCTCATTCCGCCGGCCCATATTGTCGCACCGTTGTGGGCTAGCCGAGTTTTGGGGGCCGTTTTGGGGCCTCTTGGGGCCTCTTTTGGGCCTCTTGGGCGCCTCTTGGGGCGTCTTGGGGGCCTCTTGGGGGCCTCTTGGGGCCTTTTTGGGGCCTCCTGGGCGCCTTCTGGGGCGGAGGGCTCGATTTTTCAGTTCTCGGTTCCCCTCTTGAGCCCCTCTTGGGCCCGTCTTGGGGCCTCTTGGTCCGTCTTGGGCGGCACTTGGGCCGTCTTGGGGGCCCTCCTGGGCCGTTCCGGGGCCGTCTTGGGAGCCTCGTGGGCCGTCTTGGAGCGGTCTTGGGGGCCTCTTGGGCCGTCTTGGAGCGTCCGGAAGCCGAAAAAGCCAGAACACAAAAAACATCGAAAAAACCAATGAAAATCAACGATTTTGGCCTCTTGGGGCTCTCTTCGGAGGCCTCTTGGAAGGCTCTTGGGGCGTCTTGGAGGCCTCTTGGGCTGTCTTGGGGGCCTTTTGGGCCGTCTTGGGGTCATCTTCGGCGTCTTCGAGCGCTCTTTGGGCGTCTCGGGGGCCTCTTGGGCAGTCTTGGGGGCCTCTTGGGGCACTCTTGGCGCGCTCAGGGCGGCCTGAGAGGCCGCACCCAGAAGGAAAACCATCTCTGAGTTGAACCGGGCGGGACCTTGCCAGGCGGCGGGCGGGGTACTTTTCGCCGGGGGACCCCCAGGGGCCGCCCCGCGCGCGCGAACTAGTACAATACAATTGTTAACCAGTTACCGGAGATCTTAGCACGCCTCTGGCCCGTTGGGCCGGCGAATTCGTAGTCTTAGTTTTCGTATTATTATTCGTAGTCGGAAGTGAGGGGGTGAGATCGAAGTGGAACGGACAGCCCCCTTACCGGGAAATCGATTTCGGATTCGTGTTCGTGCGTGCCGTGCGTGCGGGCGAGGCGAAACTGCGTGGGCGGGCGAGAGAAAATCTCCTGTGGCTGAGGCGAGGCCGGACCAAACGTCTCCCTTCCGGGCGGCCGGGGGCCCGCGGTGTCCCGCCGGTGTCCCGCTGGTGTCCCGTGTGGCTGAGGCGCGGCCGGACCAAATGACTCCCTTCCGGGCGGCCAGGGGCCCGCGGTGTCCCGCCCGTGTCCCGTCGGTGCCCCGTCGGTGTCCCGATGATGATGATGATGATGTTGATGATGATGGTGCTGATGATGATGATGATGATGATGATGGTGTTGATGGTGTCCCGATGATGCTGATGATGGTGATGCGGATCGATTGTGAGATCGATAGTGAGGTTGGATGTGGGATCGATAATGAGATCGATAGTGATATCGGTTGTGAGATCGAACGTGAAACCGAATGTCAGATCGATTGTGAGATCGGTTGTGATCTCGATAGTGAGATCGATAGTGGTATCGGTAGTGAGATCGATTGTAAGACAGAATGGGAGATCGTTTGTGATATCGACGGTGATATCGATAGTGAGACAAATAGTGAGACCGAATGTGAGATCGATTGTGGGATCTATTGTGAGATCGATTGCGAGATCGATAGTCCGATCGATTGTGAGATCGACCGATTGAAATCGATAATGAGATCGATAGTGAGTTCGATAGTGAGATCGATGATGAGACCCAATGTGAGATCGATTGTGAGATCGAATGTGATATCGATAGTGAGATGAATAGTGATACCGAATGCGAGATCGATTGTGAGATCGATTGTGATATCGATAGTGAGATCGATAGTGAGACCGAATGTGAGATCGATAATGAGATCGATAGTGAGTTTGATAGTGAGATCGATGGTCAGATCGAATGCAAGATCGATTGTGATATCGATTGTGAGATCAATAGCGAGACCGAATGTGAGATCGATTGTGGGATCGATTGTGAGATTGATTGTGAGATCGATAGTCAGATCGATTGTGAGATATATCGGTTGAGATCGATTGTGAGATCGGTAGTGAGTTCGATGGTGAGATCAATCGAGTGCGACGTTGGTCCCTCCCCCCCCCCCCCCTCACCTCCTTATCACCCGAAGGGTGGTTTATGCGGTATTATTATTATTATGTTGTTTCTTGTTATTGATATTTTTCTTATTATTATTATTATTATTATTAGTATTATTATTAGTAGTATTATTATTAGTATAAATATTATTATCCTCCTCCTCCTCCTCCTCCTCCTCCTCCTCTTCCTCCTCCTCTTCCCCCTCCTCCTCCTCCTCCTCCTCCTCCTCATCCTCCTCCTCCTCCTCTTCCTCCGCCTCCTCCTCCTCCTCCGCTTCCTTCTCCTTAAGCATTGCTATTAAGATCCTCCGAAGAAGGATTCGTAATGACATCATCCACAAAGTATTCTTATTGAAATCTACCGAACGAAAGGATTCCCCCATTGGTATTGCATTGGCATTGGTGTTGGTTGGGAATGGACTTGTATCGCATCGGCATGCACTGGCCTGGTGCAGGAGATAGACAAAGAGAGAGAGAGAGAGACAAAGAGAGAGAGAGGGAGAGAGAGAGAGAGAGAGAACACTAGAGAACGATATAACGAGAAAATATTAGTATGAGGGGATCACGGCGAAAAGAAAAATGACACAAAACAATACATATTTAAGGGTGAAAGAGCGTTTCACTCGATAAAAACCGTATGACAACGACGAGGGGTTCCACAATCCCCCGGCCTCGAGGAGGAGGAGGAAGAGGAGGAGGAGGAGGAAGAGGAGGAGGAGGAGGAGGAGGAGGAGGAGGAGCAGGAGACGGATGGCGACGTCACTGCAGATGACGACTTCGAGGAGGAGGAGGAGGAGGAGGAAAACGATGCTGACGAGGACGAGCAAGAGGGTGAGGTCGTGACCGGGGCTTGGGAGCAGGACTGAGGACGCCATGTGTAAATTCACGTCGCAGT